CTTCAGTGTGTCCTCCTCATACTTGTATCGTCTATTCAAAAAGTTAAGTGAGAAAGATTTGCGCAGAAAAATACAAAGGGGATTACTGGAAGGGAAGAGGTAGTCTCTTACCAGTGACATAAGACACTTGGACGGACCCTTTAGGAACACTGTCAGTGAGGCTGAGCCTGAAAATCGTGAAGAAAATGTGAAGACAAGAAAAGAAGCTTTTAGCATTGATTAGGCTAAAAAAGTAGACATGGAAGTCTACTCCTTGGGTGTAATAATATATATTTTTTATCTTTAATCCTGAACATTTTGAAGCCTAGAAAAATGGAGAGAAAAGTATAATGAACAGCTATATACCCATGGCCTTTATTTCATAAATGTTAATAGTTTTCACATTTGATTAATATTTTTAAAATATATTTGATGTTGTATAACAGATGACAGAAAAATGGCAGATTGTTTCAATTTCTTATCTTTTGTCTTTTTAATGGAGAACAGTTCCTGACTTGTCAAAAAAAAAAAAGAAATCTAGTAAAAGAACGCTGAAGACAAAAAGAGGTAGGATACTATGTGGCCGTTTTGAAATAGTCTCCATTCCCAGAGAAATTACACCCAGTAATTTATGAAAGAACTGAGCAATATGATTGCTCACAGTCTTTGAAGAGCAATTAACAAGAGATTTATAATTTCTGAGAAAGATGTTTGTGAACATTTAGGAAATAGTAATGTCAGGGGCTGGGAAGAGTTGAGTCAGTCTTGCTAAATTTATCTCATGTTTTGTTTGGACTGTGATTCCTTGCTGAGCCAGGGAAATTCATAGAGAACAATGCATTATTTCCTCCCTCTTCATCATCATTCTCCTTTTCCTCTTCCTCATTATTATTATTAGAAAAAAATAACTATCACTGTTACCAATTCATACATCTTTGAGGTGTGAAAGTTGAAAAGCGAGTCTCCCTTCTCTTACCCCACCTCCTCTGTCTGACTGGCAGAGCACAGTCCCTGACTATTTTTTTTTTTAAACCCTCACCCAAGGACCCTTTTTTCATTGCTTTGTGAGAGAGGAAGGGAAAGAGAGAAACATTGGTTGCCCCCCCTACCCCGTACCCACCTGGACTGAGGATTAAAGCCACATCTTAAGTATGTGCCCACATTGGGAATCAAACCTGCAACGTTTCAGTTACAGATGACACTTCAGCTAACTGAGTCACACTGGCCAGGGCTGGCTGACTGTATTTTGATTTCAGTGAAAAGATTTTGCAGAGCTCATGATATTCTTGAATGTGAGCTGGATAATAGGAGGGCCTGTAACAAAAGTTTTACCTAGTTTTTATGGGCTTCTGTCTTTGGTCAGTGCCTTGTGTATTCTTTTTGTGTTCATTCTTAACAAAAATTGCACAGGACAAAACTGAGAGGGGGACGGTTGATATATTGGGTTATTGGATGTTTAACATATACAAATATGAAGTCCTACATTTATACCTAATATTACAATGTATTAAGTTCTACCTCAAAAGTTAGTCATACAAATGCAGGGTAGAGAAGACCGATTTGAAAGCTCTTAATGGGAATTCGTAACACTTTGTACAAACAAGTGAACAGTAGGTTTTCTCTTGGTGTTAGTGTCAATCATTAACTCTTTTTTTGGATGGGCAATTTGGCCATGGCTTTCTAGAATCTTAAACATACTTATTTTATTTGAATAATTATCTCAAGAATTTTTCCAAGGAGACATGACAGAGGACAGTAATAATTTTAAAATGAAAGCTGTTTTTAGCTATTTTCTTTTAGCTAGTAAACAAAGAATACATAACAATAGAGAAATGATTGACTGAATTGTGGTATCTACATGTCAACACTAAAGTGATTAAAATGATGATTCTGTGGCTGTATAGGTAAATGTTTATAGAATAGTAATAAAAGAAGAACAGAAATTATATATATACACATATATATATAGCACAATAAAATTCTATTTGCCTGTTAATGAAAATTGGAAGGCATTTAAAACTATTGAAAACTCTTTCATGGGTAATAATATTATAGTGAAATGTAACCATTTTTTTTAATACTTTAAAAATTTTTAAATTGATTTTAGAGAGGAAGGGGCAGAGATAGAGTGAGCGAAACAGAAACCTGTTGTTCCACTTACTTGTGCATTCGTTGGTTGATTCTTGTATGTGCCCTGACTGGGGATGGCACCTACAGCCTTGGTGTATGGGGAGGGTGCCCTAACCAACTGAGCTGCCCAGCCAGGGCTGAAATTTAAACAATTTAATTTTATGATCAGAAGGTGACAATAACTCAAAAATGGTTATGGAATTTGTATTTCATTGCAGTCTTCAGAGTAAGTAACAGCCTTTCCCATGAAAAGAGGGAAAAGTGAATGTAATATTAGGCAATGTTATTAAAAGTGACGTATGGACCATTGAATGCACATACAGGTCAAGTCACATTTGGAGTATGATTTTCAGTTTTAGTTATTGTATTTTAAGAAAAGAATCCATAAATTGATTGTTGGGGGTGGAGCTTGGGATTCACATGTATACCCGGGTAAAGATTTCTGGGAGGTGGCGTAGGAAGAGGAGAGAGGGTGGCCTTTAAATATGGAAATATCCTTTGGGACCTGGAATGGTTTGATTATCTATGGCTGCAGAGGGCAGACTAAAATCAGAGAGTGAAAATGAGAGGTACACTTCATTTCCTTTTGAAGAGCTATTATCTGACAAATAGAGTCACCCCAAAATTAAATGGGCTATCTTCATTTGTTAGTGAGCAAGTGTATGTAAGTAAAAGGCACTTATCTTAACCAAGGCTTGATTGGCACCCAGATGAACCTAACCAAGGAATAGTGGCAGCCGCTCACGTTCAGGTGATTAGGGGAGGGCCCAGTGCAGGCAACTAGAGAAAAACCGCGTCTTGTGCAGAGTCTTTTGGTGAAACATCAGATCACCCAGGTGACTCAGCCCCCCTGCAGCCCCGATTTGGCGCCCTGCAACTTCTGGCTTTTCCCAAAACTAAAATCACTTTTGAAAGAGAAGAGATTTTGGACCATCAGTGAGACTCAGGAAAATATGATGGGCAGCTGATGGCGACTGGGAGAACTGTGTGAGGTCCCAAGGTGCCTACTTTGAAGGGGACAGGGCCATCATTGTCCTATGTACAGTGTTTCTTGTATCTTGTATTTTCTCCAATAAATGTCTCTCTTTTTCATAGTACATGGCTGGATACTTTCTGGACAGACCTCATACGTGTGGCCGCAGTGGTGGGAGGTTCAGCTTGGTAGTTGGTGCTTAGTGTGTCAAATGAATGGATGGAGGCCAATGCCTTGGCTGAATTCTAGCAATATTTCCCTGACGGGCCGCTGTTTCTTACTTCCTTTCAGTGCCTTGCCTACAATGCCAGTGACATGATGTATCTGAAATACAGTTCTAAAACTGTGACTATTTTAATGTGTATTTAAAAGATAAAGGCCTTTAAAAATCATAACCATTATACTGTTTTCACAGCTAAAAATTTAACAATTATTCTTTCCCTTTTAAAAAGAATAAATTGATTTTTATTAGCTTTACTGGAAGCAGTTATTCTTTAACATCATCAAATATCTAGTTGTGTTCAAATGTTCTATTTTCTCATAATTTCTCTCTCTTTCTTTTTTAATCCTCACCCAAGGACATTTTTTCACTGCTTTTTAGAGAGAGGAAGGGGGAGAGAGAGAAATACTGATGATGTGAGAGGAATACATCGATTGGTTGCCCCCCGTATGCACCTAGACCCAGGATTGTATGTGCCCGGGCCAGGGATCAAACCCCCCCACCCTTTTGTTACCAGATGATGCTTTAGCCCATTAAGCCACACCGGCCAGGGCCATAAATTCTCTTTCAAAAAGTCATTTACAGTTTAAAAAAATTAGAATCCAGCCCTGGCCAGGTAGCTCAGTTGGTTAGATCATCATACCCATATGCCAAGGTTGTGGGTTCCATTCCCGGTCAGAGCACATACAAGAAATCAACCAATGAATGCATCAATAAGTGGAAAAACAAACTGATGTTTCCCTCTCGCTCTGAAAATCAATAAATGAAAATTAAAAAAAAACCCAAATAATGTTTGTACATTACAGTTTGTTAACTTGTCTCTCAGGTTTCTTTTACTTTCTTTGATCTCACTCTGTTTCTTTTTCTCCTGCGTTTCATTTGGTGAAAAAACTGACTCCTGCCCTGGCTGGTGGGGCTCAGTGGATTGAGCACCGCCCTGCGAACCAAAGGGTCGCCGGTTTGATTCCCAGTCAGGACACACGCCTGGGTTGCAGGCCAGATCCCCAGTAGAGGGCACATGAGAGGGAACCACACACTGACGTTTTTCTCCCTCTCTTTCCCCTCTCTCTGAAAATAAATAAATAAAGTCCTTTTTTTTAAAAAAAAAAACCCCAAAACTTAGTTCTCTGTCCTGTGGTTTCCCATCGTCTGGGTTTCAGCCGACTCAGTCTACTGCTTTCCTCTGAAGTGGGACTTGGGCCTAGTTACCACTCCTAGATGGGGGTACTGTTCTCTCAGGCTCCCTTTAAGGCCTTCTCTTTATTTTTAGGATTCTGTGGAGGTTTTTTGGTTTAATCTTTTATTTATCGTTCATCGTATGTGTTGCTTCCCGTGTCTGCGGGGTTGTCTTTTTCTCCGTTCCTGGGGCGAGGGGGGTGTTCGCGTCGCCCGTTTCCTTTCCCTTTTCTCCATCCCCTCCACTTCTCTTCCCTCCCCACCCCCTCCAGCAAGTGACGGAATAGATGAGTCATGTGATGTGGACCAACTGAAGTCAAACAAGGTTTAAAAAATACGTTAGATTAGCAAAATACAATTGGACAGTAAAGTAAAATCAAATTACCAGCGTATGGTAGGTAGAATTCTCAGTTGCCTGCCCACATTGGTCAGAAGCACTGATCTCACGAATATCTACATGAAGTTTACAACAATTTTTAAAAAGAATTTTAGTTAAGTTCAATGTTGTACTTTTCTTTCTAGATTCCATATTGTGGATTCTGGCTCCGTTATCATGAATGACACTTTGACATCAGATGTCGTTGGTCAAAGAGTTGAAGTCAATGGAGAACGTGCCACGGTTCTTTTCTATGGCCCTGTCCCTCCTGTGGCAGGTGATGTATGATTTTGTGTGTGCGTGTGTGTATTTATTTATTTTGGGGTTTTTCTGTGCAGACTTTTCAAGACTGCTATACTACAACCATCTTGAAACTAACAACCAATTTCTAGATAACTACACTATACAGGTTTATTTGGTGACAATATCCTGTGGTATCTATGGTTTTATTTAATTATGCACTTTAATTATTTAGTATTGCTATTTCATATTAATTCAACCTTAAAATATCTTCTGAGTAAACTTTAAACAATAAAAGAATCTTGAATGACCATAATCCTAAACTAAAGTCAGGTCTCAACGCTCTCATACAGCAGAGTGCGGCGGTGTATATCTGCTGCAGAGCTTATGCCCTTTCTGCCCTGTTGCTTCTCACAAATATGACTGTTTTAAGGTTCTTGATATATGTTGCCAAGTTTCTGTCTGAAAGTATTGGATCTGGGAAGCGAACTCAGATGGAGGTTCACATGCAGGACATTTAGTGTACGGAGAGTTTATTAGGGCTGCTCTTGGGATCACTACTAATGGGACGAGCAGAGGCAGAAGTCGGGCTGTGATGGGATGTGATCGAAGGGGCTCTGCGGCCAGGGTGGCCTTCAGTCCTTCTGAGTTGAGACGAGGGGCTGTCTATTTACGCTCCCGTGATGATCTGTCAGTGGGTTCTGAGCGCCCTAGGAAGGGGGGTGTGCCCTTGGGCAACGTGCTTTCCTAGTGGAGACAATTCTGGAAGAAGGCGGACAGTTGCAGGCTGACCTCCAAAAGCCAGTGCTGCCAGCATCGGGAGGAAGTGCGCACAGTTCCGGAAGGCAGATTGGGGGGGGCGTCGCAAGGACAGCCGTGCAGCGAACGGCGCTCACTGGCAGCTGGGCGAGTATGAGGTGGTGCACGCTATTTTCATACATTAAGTTGCCTGTGAGTTGGATGCATTCCTCATCTATGTATTATGAAGCAGCTATTTCCCTGAAAATTACAATTCTGCGAAGAGGGAACTGCCACATATTTATTCCTTATTAATTCTCTCATTGTTTGGGGGATTCTCCCCATTACTTTACCTCAGTTAGTACTACTTTTGGGTTTCTTCTAGAGGTGACCTTTGGAATTGTTGGAATTGGTACATCTGGTGGAACTGGTACATGTGATACAAAGATGCAGAGAAATTGCACACCGATTCCGTAATTCACCCCAGAGTTTCTACACTGAATGTTGCTCTAGGGTTTGGTGACAGCTAACTGAGTAGGCGTTCAAAGCACTTGGACAAGTTTCTGGTGCACAGTGTTAGCTGTTGTTGTAAATAAACATGTAAAAATTACTTTAAAAAGAAATACAACAGTCCTGTGTTTGTAAATGGCTACTTGTGCTTAGAAATTTAATTTCCTCAGCTAGGATTATACATAGATTTAAATAAAACATTTTTTACTTGATTTATTGGGGCGACATTGGTTTGCAGAACCATACAGGTTTCAAGTGTAGTCCTCAGCAAAACATTCTTTGCATACTGCATCCTGCGCCCATCTCCCCAAGCAGAGTATATTTCTGACCTCATTTCGCCCTGCCTTTGCCCACCTCCACCTAGCCGCCCCGACCCTGCCCACACTGTCGTCTGTCTGTGTGTAATGTAGCTATGTTTTATGGCTAACACCTTCACCTGTTTTCATCCATTTTCCCCTGCCCTCTCCCCTCTGACAGCTGTCAGTCTGTTCCCTGTATCCATGCTTCTGTTTCTATTTTGTTCATCAGTTTATTTTCTTCATTAGATTCCACATATAAGCGAGATCATATGGTATTTGTTTTTCTCTGACTGGCCTATTTTACTTAGCATCATAATTTCCAGGTCCATCCATATTGTCACAAAAAGTAAGATTTCCTTCTTTTTTATAGCTGTATACTATTCCATTGTGTAAATGTACCACAGTGTTTTTATCCACTCATTTATTGATGGGCACTTGGGCTGTCTCAGGAGCTTGGCTGTTGTAAATAACACTTTAATGAATTTAGGGGTGCACACGTGTATATTCTTTCAAATTAGGGTTAAGGATTCCAGAAGTAGGATGACTGGGTTAAAAGGCAGTTACATTTTTAATTTTTTGAGGAAACTCATACTTTTTCCAAAAAAGGCTGCACCAGTCTACATTTCCACCGACAGTGCACTGGGGTTCCCTTTTCTCCACGTCCTCACCAACATTTGTTTGTTGATTTATTGATGATGGCCATTCTCGCAGGTGTGAGTTGATACCTCATTGTGGTTTCAATTTGCATCTCTCTGGTGATTAGTGATGTTGAGCATTTTTTCATATGTCTTTTAGCCATCTGTATGTCCTCTTTGGAGAAATGTCTATTCAGGTCCTTTTCCCACGTTTTAATTGGATTGTCTGTCTTCCTGGTGTTGAGTTGTGTAATTCTTTGTCTACTTGTATTTTGGAAAATTAACCCCTTATCTGATGTATCATTGGCAAATATGTTCTCCCATACAGTGGGTTCCTTTTTCATTTTGATGGTGGTTTCTTTTGCTGTGCAAAGGCTTTTTAGTTTGATGTAGTCCCATTTGTTATTTTTTCCTTTGTTTCCCTTGCCCTAGGAGATATATCAGCAAAAATACTGCCACAAGAGATGTCTGAGATTTTACTGCCTGTGTTTTCTTCTAGGATTTTTATGGTTTTATGACTTACATTTCAGTCTTGTATCCATTTTGAATTTATTCTGATATATGGTGTGAGTTGGTGGCTAGTTTCATTTTTTTTTTTTTTTTTTTTGCATGTACCTGTCCAATTTTCTGAGCACCATTTATTGAAGAGACTGTCTTTACTTCATGGTATGCTCTTGCCTCCTTTGTTAATATTAATTGACCATAAATGTGTGGGTTTATTTCTGGGTTCTTTGTTCTGCTCACATGATCTGTATGCCTTTTCCTATGCCAGTACCAAGCTGTTTTGATGGCAAACTTGTAGCACAGTTTAATATCAGGTATTGTGATACCTCCAACTTTGTTCTTGTTTATCAAGGTTGCTGAGGTTATTTGCAGTTATTTTTGGTTCCATATAAATTTTTGAAATATTTGTTCCAGATCTGTGCAATATACCATTGGTAGTTTCATGGGAATTGCGTTGAATCTATAGATTGCTTTGGGTAGTATGAACATTTTAATGATGTTAATTCTTCCAATCCATGAACATGGTATATGCTTCTACTTATTTGTATCTTCCTCAGTTTCTTACATGTCCTGTACTTTTCCAAGTACAGGTCTTAGTTAAATTTATTTTTAGGTACCTTATTATTTTTTTCATTGCAGTAGTAAATGTGATTGTTTTCTTAATTTCTCTTTCTCATAGTTTATTATTGGCTATAAAAATAACACAAATTTCTGAATATTAATTTTGTGTTCTGCTGCTTTGCTGAATTCGTTTATTAAATCTAGTAGTTTTTTGGTGGCGCCTTTAGAGTTTTTTATGTAAATATCATGTCATCTGCAAATAATGGCAGTTTTACTTCCTCCTTTCCAGTTTGGATGTCTTTTATTTCTTCTTCTTGTCTAATTGCTATAGCAAGGACTTCCAGTACTATGGTGAATAAGAGTGGTGAAAGTGGACATTGAGTATGATACTGGCTGTAGATTTCATATATGGACTTTATTATTTTGAGGTATGATTCCTCTATTCCCACTTTACTGAGAGTTTTTATTATAAATGGGTGCTGGATTTTATCAGATGCTTTTTCTGCATCTGTTAATATGAGCATGTGATTTTTATCCTTCATTTTGTTTATGTGGTGTATTATGTTTATTGATTGGTGATTATTGTACCAACTTTGTATTCCTGAAATAAATCCCATTTAATGATGTTGTATGATCTTTTTAATGTATCGCAGGATCCGGTTTGCCAATATTTTGTTGAGGATTTTAGCTTCTATGTTCATCAAGGATATTGATTTTCTATAATTTTCTTTATTTGTAGTGTCTCTACCTCATTTTGGAATTAAGATAATGCTAGCATCATAAAAAGAGCTGAGAAGTCTTCCCTCCTCTTGAATTTCTTGCAATAATTTGAGGATAGGTGTTAGTTCTTTGAATGATTGGTAAAATTCACCTGTGAAGCCATCCAGTTTCTGGGAGTTTTTTGATTCCTGCTTTAGTTTTATTAGTTGTAATAGGTCTATTCAGGTGTTGTGATTCTTCCTGAATCACTTTTGGAAGATTGTATGTTTCTAGGAATTTGTGTATCTCACCCAGGTTGTCCAAATGTTGGCATATAGTTTTCATAGTATTTTCCTACAATCCTTTGTATCGCTTTTGTGTCAGTTGTTACTTCTTCTCTTTCATTTTGGTTATACTTATTTGGGCCCTCTTTCTTTCTTTCTTTCTTTCTTTCTTTCTTTCTTTCTTTCTTTCTTTCTTTCTTTCTTTCTTTCTGCCTTCCTTCCTTCCTTCCTTCCTTCCTTCCTTCCTTCCTTCCTTCCTTCCTTTCTTTCTTTCTTTCTTTCTTTCTTTCTTTCTTTCTTTCTTTCTTTCTTTCTCTCTTTCTTTCTATTTTAAATGAAATTACTAGGTATGAGCATTTATGTTAGTGTTTTTTTAAAAAGATTTTATTTATTTATTTTTAGAGAGGGAAGGAGGGAGAGAAACATCTGTGTGGTTGCCTCTCAGGTACCCCCCTACTGGAGACCTGGCCCGCAACCCAGGCCTGTGCCCTGACTTGGAATCAGACCAGAGTCCCTTTGGTTCACAGGCCGGCGTGCAGTCCACTGAGCCACACCAGCCAGGGCTTCTCTCTTTTTCTTGATGCGTCTGGTTAAAGGTTCATCAGTCTTGTTTATATTTTCAGAGAACCAGTTCTTGGTTCACTGACCAATTTTGTATTGTTTTTGTAGTCCCCGTGTCACTTATTTCTGCTGTGATCTTTATTATTTCCTTCCTTGTACTTACTTTGGGCTCTGTTTGTTGTTCTTTTTCTAGTGTTTTAAGGTGTTGGGTTACATTGTTTGTTTGGGATTTTTCTATCTTCTTGA